AAGAGAGCAACGGGCAGGAGAACGAGAAAGCACTAGGCTTTTCGTTTCAGATGCGTTCACACGCATGCCGCTCACGTCGCACTCGACCCTAAAATGGGCCCTTCGCCCTGAAAGGCAAGAATCGAACATGTGGTGCTGGCTAAGAAATTATATATATTTTAGTACCATCGTCTAAACTACTGTACACTATGCTGTGTATAAGTTACTAACCATCTAAACCGAAATGACAAGCAGACGGAGAGGCGAAGGGTTGAAAAAGTAACGTTAGTCTATCCTAGAGAATGAATATTGACCCTAAAAAATATGTAGTGTTTTTAACAACTGCTGTAATCGTCAGCGAAAGGAGGCGAAAGCTTCGTATTATAAAGTGTACTCGGGAGATGAGCTCAGAAATTAAAACGCTAACACCTTCCCTTCGTGTAGCAGACGACATCGATGTCCTTCACCGGATCGATGTGGGACTCTTGCAGGGCACAACGAAGCACGTGCAGCACTTCGCGCTGGTGGTGATCGGCCGTCTCGCGAGGCTGAAAGCCCTCACCCGCAGCAGAGACGTACGTCTTCCTCGGATTGGACAGCACCACGCCGTCGCGCACCACGCCAACGCTGATCTTGTTCGCGCTACCCTCGAATCCGATGGACAACACCATAGTGGTTGCCCGAAACTCAGATCAATGTCCGCCTCTTCAAACAAGATCTTCCTTTCTAAATGCTTTAGTTATGAAATAAACATCAATCAGACAATAAATAAATAGTCATCAGAGCATTGATCACTGAGGTACAAGCACGTATAAGGTTACGTTAAATTCAAATGAATAGGGTTTCGCAACTGCGGAACTTTGAAATTGTTAACTCTTTAGATTTTGATAACTTTAGAATTACTTTCAGATTTTACAATATAGTCTCTACCAGGTTTACTCAGTACAGTTACACGAAGTTGTCAACTTTATATCAGTAGAAAGACAATTTTGATAAACAGCTGTATACCCGCATAATTCAACTAGTTCTTTAAGCAGATAAAGTGCTTTCTTCGTGCGCCGATAATCGTATTCACAAACTAGCATAAAAGCGGTTTATCTACATGTAACGCGGTAAACAAATTTACCGGTTGATAGATTGATAGTGGCATTGGTTTATGACCCAGCAGATCACTGTCCTTCTTTGGGTATAAATAAACCTTTCCCTGTTTTCTCAATATTTTTGAAAACATAATTTAAACAAATTATTAATTTATTCATTTTAATTATAATTTAATAATCCACATTATTTCAAATTCTCTCATACAGAGGGCATCTTGCCAGCAGCCATAGCAATGCATAGCCACATAACTGTGGTCTACTGTAAATTTGGCATATCCAAAAAAAAAT